TTTGGCCCATCACTACCACAAATGCACGACAGGAGCGTTAATAGTAGTGATGTTCTCTGGTGCATATGCGCCGCTCTGAACAACTTTTCAGCCAAACTGTCTCTAAGGAAAGTACATCCTCTGGGATATATTTAGTCTCTGTGGACTGGTGCACGACTCCCTCTGTGTTCAAACAACAGAACGCCTCCATGATTCCGTCAATAAGAATATAAACGAGGTCAGTTAAGGCAGTACAAAGCCCGTCAATACCCCTGTCTGCAGCCCTTACATGTGATCGTGATGTGATTTTTTAATTTGAAACGACACATTTGGGAATAACCGGTTGGATCTGATCTAAAACCCTTGACCTGGTGAAACATGTAACCCAGTCTGGTTCGTTTGTTAAGTGAACTACTATACCCAGAATTTGGAATTATCTCCAGCTGTTGTTGCCATGTTGTTCTTTGTTGTGTTGCGACCAACTTGGTTGACATTTACATTGATGCATTTGGCAGACGCTTTTATCCAAAGCCATTAAGAAGAGGACTGTTAATGATTATTGTGGGGTCAAAGTAAAGGTGTTTACCTAAGAAACAGGTCCAGGGTAAAACGGTTGCCATTAAACAACATTATTGCTCTCCTTTAATTTTAGGGTTTGTGGAACTGAAGCATGTATCGCTTTAATATTTTGTGAAATTAATCAGATTTTCGATATACATGTTATTTACACACTACATATAATTAATAACACATAATTCCATATTAATAATTCCAAAATTTGGATTACTCAAAATATAAAAACAGGTGTTTTTCTGTTCCAGGTAAATAAATAAAAAGGTGTTTTGTCATATTAAGAAATGCTGATATATACCAAAATAAAAAGGTGTTTTGTCATATTAAGGAATGCTGATATATACCAACTAATCATGCTTAATTACAATCACAAATAATCATGATTAATTGTTATTATTTGCCTAAAAAGGCCAAATTGGTTTTTTGTTTTTGAACAACAGAAAACCATAAAACCTGAATTTCAATAAATTAAAAATATTGTTTTCATAGTTTATTGATTTTACAGTAAAAAAAAAGACACTAAACCTCACCTGTTGAGAGCACTTTCCATTCGACACACTCGATTGCTTGTCATTCTCAGTGGGTGAACAGCTCGACACCTCCCATGGAAGTTTGTTTTTCCCTTTACCGGCGCTCACAATCCTCCTTTGAAGTTGAAAGTCATCGGTGAGGGACCCTAAGCTGCCATAGCCGTACAATCGGTCACAGTCCGGTTCAGTTCTGTGGCTCCTGGCACTGCTGACCCGTCCTCCGTGCATCACCCAGTCCAGGTCAGCTCCAGAACCACACGGCAGCGAGGACCGCAGTGCTGGGTTTGGTACCACTAAACCGTATTCCACTGTTCCATCTGAGGCCAGTTTGGGAAGCACATGCCTGGCTCGTCTCGCCTGCACAGCTGCCATCAGACCCTCCGCATCCTCGTTGAGCTCCACCATGTCCACAGCTTTCATCAGAGGCTGTTTTCTCCCCGTGTCCAGGCAATAATCAAGAACTGCAAACAGCTCGAGGGCAGCCAGGCGGACTTTCCTTTTGCTGTCTGCCAAATATGGTGCGACCTCAAAACAGAGCTTGGGGATGTTGAAATCTTTCCTCGGATGGACGAGCATGGCGGCCATGATGATGTTGAGGACATCTTCGCGAACCCTGGAGTTTTTGTGTTTCAGGTTTCCGATGATCAGGTCCAATACTTGCTGCGGTGCGACAGTTTTCATCAACTGTCGGAACACGTTCATGTATTCATTCCTGGCGGTGGTGCGAGCGTCTCCGAGGACTTTGAGACCCACAAAGACTACCTGTTTGAAATATTTCTCCACACTGGTGTCCAGCTTCTGGATGAGCAGGTTTAAAACTTGTAAGGTGCTGCACATGACTTTAAAGTTATTGTCATCCAGGAGTCGAGGAAGAAAATTAATAAAGTCCTCAATACATTCAGAGGGGAACGAATCGATGTCCACGTCTGAGATGAGGCTTTTGAGCTCCTCCACGCCATTCGTACGATTCTGGTAGTTCTTGGGGTCCAGGAGCTTTTTGTGCAACTCCTGGGAGATCAGGCCAGGTATCATCATTGATGACGCTGTAGATTTAGTCAAAAATGGAAATCTGGAGGTGCAACAGTTTTGAGAGGAGAGCAATATTCCCCCTCTGTGATTGGTGCTTTCATCCTGAGTGGCTGACGATGGAAGAACCACCCTTCTGTTTGTCAAGCTGCGAACGGAAAAGGGAGTAAATTAAACAGAAGCGGAAAACTGGGATTTCTTCTACTTGTTCTTCTACATGACATGGGCTGATGGGAAAATTCATCACAATAACAGGTGATCTAAATAAATTCGAGTTAATTTTCGAAAGGGCTTTAAACTAATCTTTTTGCTTAAAATGAATTATTTAGTAATTACGTTGCAATTACCAAATTATAATGTCATTTTCAATAATGTTATTTGATGTGTAAATTAATATAAAAGTAAATACATAGCTGTGTCGTTGCTATGGGAAACGACTCATATCACTATGGTAGTTTGTAGAACGCAACATCCTGTTTGTTGTTTACCAACATCGAGCCCTAGTGAAAGTGCATTGTGGGGCTGTACACCTCCAGTTGTCAGTAATGAGCATAACAACCACATATTAAATAAAAAAAATTAAATTTGCACATTTTGCAGACATTTTTGCAACATTTTATTGACATATAGCATATTAGCTTATTTGAGAACTTCTTCCTATAAGGTTTTAACAACTATAACAACCACATATTAAATAAAAAAAAAAATTAAATTTGCCCCCCCAAAAATGTTAGATTTGTTCAAATGAGCTTAGTTTTAAACATTTTATTGACATATAGCATATTACCTTATTTGAGAACTTCATCCTATAAGGTTTTAACAACCACTTTACATTCTTTAAATCGCATTACTGCCACCTACTGGGTCTATTTTCCACAAATAAACACCTCTATAGAGAACTATCCTGGTTATTTGCAAAAGAAAGGGAACGTGATAAAATGCAGGACAAATGGCTGTGTCCCTGCAGAGCAACTCCGCATCGATTACTCCATACGACGCTGAAAAATAACCAAAAAAAAAAAAAAAAAGAAGATAATTCTTTAGTACTCCACCTAAAAACATGACTTTTGAGGAATTTGGCATTGATTTCAATCCCACAGGAATGACTGGAGCCAGGCAGGGAAATTATATATTTTCAAGTGACGCATTTTGAAACAGTAACAATCTCTTCACCCGCGTCAAATAATTGTGTTGTTGTTGTTTTTTTTTAAAAAAAAGCAATAAGCGATATAATTGTGTATCGTACGGCACCTTCTAAAAAACATAACAACGTGTAGTCAGGTAACGGTACGGACTGCATTCGCACGACGCCTGTGTTTGTATTGATATTTAATGAGCAGCACTTTGAGAGCAGGTTAAAGGGACCTGAACGCAACCACTTGTGGCTCTCGGAGTGGCAGCTCATCGGCAGAAACAGCAGAACTACGAACTAAACCCACGCGACAGGCCGTCGCTATTACGTTGTAATGACATTAAAGAATGTTCTCTGGAGTCGTAGCCACTCAGCGACCGAGGCGCTAATTCTTCGTAGGAGTTGGTTATTACACATGTAACTACGCCGGCGCTGTTAAGTGGCTTACTTAGTTAGCTTCGGCGTAATAATAATAAAACCTTCCCGTTGGAACGACACACTTGGATAAAAAAAAATATCGCTAAGCTAAGACCCCGCGACCGGAGCTGTAGGGGTTTGGTTTGGTGTAAGTGAGCAAAGTTAGAAACACACAGAGCGAAAACATACCCCGCATTTTTCTCGCTCCTCTACGGCGACGTTCGACGACGCTGTCCGCTATTCTCCCTCTTCCTCCGAATGTCCATGTCATGCTGCGGCAGCTACGGTCCCTCTCGCCGCACACATCTCGGTCACTGCCTGTTCAAGCTGGTTTATACGGAGCGTGGAGTGTTTGGGAGCTACAGAGGTATCCACGCCGAGAAGACCACCCTCCCCCCGCCCACCCACTCACACTCACACTCACACATACACACACAGAGAGACGGACTCACACCGAGGCAGCAAAATGGCGAATGCAGGTCGCAAACTGAGCGCTTCCATGGCGACACTAGGAGTTGCCTCCAGGACTCATCGTCATCGTCATCATCATCATCATCATCGTCGTCGTCGTCGTCGTCGTTAACTTCCATGATTCAACGTCGACTCAAATAAACAAAGTTAAACCACATTTTCTAACAACAGCGTTGGGGGAAAAACTTTTTTTTACATAGTTTAAAACTGTTTATAAATATTTAAAAGTGGATAACTAACGCAATTTAATGTAAATAACAATACCTGTAGCTGTATTGCAACCTGTCGTCTTTTATTTTCATTGTTCTCCTCTTTTTTTTGCAAACCTTTAGGAGACTTAATGGTGTGTTTACCACTGGAAAAAAATAGATCCAGTAGGTGGCAGTAATGCAACTCAAAATGACTGCATGTTGCCATTTAGCATAAAAAAATACGTACGGTGAAATATTGTATTTTGTATATTAGAAGTAAGATAAAAGTGTGACAAAAAAGTTAGACTTTTTTTTTAAACTAAATGAGACATATACTAATTCAGCAAAAGTCAGCAAAACATTTAACAAAAACAGCCAAAGGTTGTTGAAAAATTATGAATCTAAGGGAAATGTTTACCTAAAATATTTTTTTAATAAAATTGTAACTTTGTATAAAAATAAAAAATAAAAACACAATTAAAACGTGTATTTCCTACTCATATTTACACGAACAAAGACGAATTTTTTTTTTCAATGCCCACTCGTAGTGCACTGATCCAGTTGTTTATTTACAGATTTATTTTTAACTCGATGACAACTCTCTTCCTCGTAAACAGCTGTAGGGTGTGCTCTTATTTTGAAAACCCGCGGAAGTAGGCGGTGCTTCTTCGCTAGCTCTTATTTATTAAAGAGCCCGTCTCTGCTCCGAGCCTGGCCTGGATGCTTGTACTGGTGGCAGCTTGTTTTCCCTGTTATCCGCCCGGGGTCCTTACTAGTCACCGCTGCCAAACTCGGGCTCTGCCGACGCCGTCTTCAACGTTACAGCGGCACAGAAGACGGGACTACGGGGTCACAGGTTTGTCCGTTTTGTTATGACGCTGTAAGAAACCCTGGTCTTGCAGCTAGCCGTTAAGTCACGTTTGGCCTGTGTCAGCCATGTTACTGTATATCAATCAATGATGCAGCCAAGCCACAGTAACCGTGTTTATTTTTAGCAGCTAACCTGCGCCGACTGCAGTGCAGTCAAACACACACACACATACACACACACACACACACACACGCTGCATTCTGAATCCGAGTTCAGCAAATACGACCAGGTGACGGTGACTCGAATGTTGACATGTATGGAAAAAATAGACGGATGACAATATAATTTGTGCGAGAACCCGAGCGATTAGCGGGGTTTAAAAGTGTGTTGGCGACAGTGGCTGCCTGCTGATGTCAGGCGACCACGTAGCCGTGGGCAGATGGTTTCTCTCCGTTCACAAATCAAGTCAAGGCCACAGTCAACTATCGTTTACCGTTATTGTGACTGGGTGACAGTGAGATTAGACCCACGGCGGCCTTTTGGCACAAGATCTGACGCGAACCTGATGTTGTTTACCATCCGACCCCCCGCCCCCTTCCCTTACCCTCCCCTCCCCACCGCACGGTCTGTTAACTTTAGCCTAGGTTTTTATTTTTATTTTTATTTTGTTTTAAATGTGGTGCTTTTTAGTCTCCCGTATATTGAAGCGCCTACATAAACAGGTGTGTTTTTAAGTTGAAGAAGTGATAGTTTGTTTGGTTTGTGACAGTTTTAGAAGCAGAATTGTGGTAATGACACAAGAAATGACAAGATCAGCATTGAGCGGCTCGGTCTGAGAAGTTTGGAGATAAAGTGAAGGAGGCAGGCGATGGTACAGACATGTACTAGAAAGATGGAGTCGATATGTTACTGAGAGGATACTGGTGTTAGATCTAGTACAGAGAAGCAGAAGAACAAAAAAAAAGAAGGGGAATACCCTTGAGGAGATTCATGGATGCAGTGAAGGAGGTGAGATGAATGCAGATATTATGCTGTGGACATCTCTTAACGGGAGCAGGCCGAGAGATCCTGGCAGTAAATTCAGTTTAGGGGCTGATGTGTCTGAAGGCGATTGGCCAACATCTCCTTGTCCCTGATAAAGTGATAAAGCTGTATTCACGGACGTTATATTAAAAGTACACAGAGCCGTATCTTAGCTAAGGCTAATGTTTTTTTTAAGATAGGCCTGAAGAAAACTCCGGATTCACAGCCATGTGGTGTTCACTCGTCGTCGTCTCCCTGTGTCTCCTGTGTCTGGACGTCGTTCTACACATGAATATAATTACACAACAGTCTTGTTCTACATTAGAAGGCTTGGATTTCCTGGTTCAGACCATGAAGGGCTTTAACACCGTCACCATGTTCCTCCGTCAAGGTTTTCCACAGGTCGTAATCTGCGTAGTGAGTTTTTAACACTGGTCCTAACCCAACCTGGGGTCGAGATAGAATCCACCTGGAATCTTCTGGAAAACCGGCTGTTATCGTACTACTGTAGCCGCCATAACAGACCCTTACACTGTCGTTTACAACAGACAAGTTACAAGTTATTTTATCCAAAGTGGCTTAAAAGAGGAGGTTTAACAATCAAACCTGTGGTTCCTCTATGAATCGAACCCAGGACTCTCTGCTTCCGAGGCAGGCGTGCTAACCGCTACCACTATGGAAACCGCTAACTGTTACTACTGGAATCAGTTGCCCGGTATATTGTTTATGCGTGCAATTAATGTTCTGAATTTTTGAAAGTTTTGGCGTCAATTTTTTACTTGAATAAGATCAATTTCTGAACATTTATGCGTGCAATTAATGTTCTGAATTTAAAGTTTTGGCGTCAATTTTCACGTTTTTTTTTATGTAGAATATGTGTGGTGGCTCCAAAAAGGATGGGAAACACTGGGCCTGTGGACCAGACTTTGGTCATGGAGCATAGTGTGGTGACGCTGGCTTAATAACATGTAAACATCATCAGCTAATGACCCATTTCTCTCCAAGTCGTCATCACCTACAGGCAGCTGCCTCCTTACTGTGTAAACATTGTCTTTGTAAATTGTGCTTTAGTCACAGGGTGTTAATTGTTCTCCCACGGCGTAACTGAATCCTGCCTTTACACATACGATGTATGGATTGCTTCCTCTTTAGATGGACCAGCAGGACCAATCCTACATGTTTGCCAGTCTGACGCGGCCTCACTCCGAGCAGCTGCTGCAGGGTCTCCAGCTCTTGCGGCAGGATCACGAACTATGTGACATTGTCCTGCGCGTGGGTGACGCCAAGATCCATGCCCACAAGGTAGTGCTGGCCAGCATCAGTCCTTACTTCAAGGCCATGTTCACTGGCAACCTGTCTGAGAAGGAGACCTCCGAGGTAGAATTCCAGTGCATCGACGAGGCCGCGTTGCAGGTTTGTTTGAAGCCGGCAGTAATTTCCTGCGCCGACTGTTTATTGCCCGCGTGACATGTTTACTTTTTCTCCTCCAGGCCATCGTCGAGTATGCCTACACTGGCACTGTGTTTATCTCCCAGGAAACGGTGGAATCTTTGCTACCGGCGGCCAACTTGCTCCAGGTGAAGCTGGTACTAAAGGAGTGCTGCTCCTTCTTGGAGAGCCAGCTGGACGCCGGGAACTGTATAGGCATCTCCCGGTTTGCGGAGACCTACGGCTGCCACGATCTGTGCTTGGCTGCCACCAAGTTCATCTGTGAGAACTTTGAGGACGTTTGTCAAACTGAGGAATTCTTTGAACTGACTCGGGCGGAGTTGGACGAAATTGTGTCAAACGACTGCCTGAAAGTCGTCACCGAGGAGAGCGTGTTTTACGCGCTGGAATCCTGGATTAAATATGACATTTCCGAGAGACAGCAGCACCTGGCTCAGCTGCTGCATTGTGTTCGCCTTCCTCTGCTCAGTGTCAAATTCCTCACTCGCCTGTACGAAGCCAACCACCTCATACGAGATGACCACGCATGCAAGCACCTGCTCAACGAGGCCCTCAAATATCATTTTATGCCTGAGCACAGACTTTCCTACCAGACTGTGTTGTCAGCACGGCCCCGGTGTGCTCCGAAGGTACTGCTCGCTGTCGGAGGCAAGGCTGGACTTTTTGCCACTTTAGAAAGGTAATGAAGACGATTTGTAAAATATTAATTAACGCGCTCTTTTTATAGCCTGTGCTATTACTTCTGCTTAATCCGATTTTTAAAGACGATTTGTAAAATATTAATTAACGTGCTCTTTTTATAACGCGTGCTATTATTTCTGCTTAATCAGATTTTCTTTTTTTTTTGTTTCTTGCAGCATGGAAATGTATTTTCCCCAGACAGATTCGTGGATAGGACTCGCACCTCTCACCGTCCCTCGCTATGAATTTGGTGTAGCAGTGCTGGACCACAAGGTCTACGTAGTGGGTGGCATCGCCACGCACATGAGACAAGGCATCAGTTATCGTAGACACGAGAGCACAGTGGAGAGCTGGGACCCCGAAAGCAACACCTGGTCCTCGGTGGAGCACATGGCGGAGTGTCGCAGCACCCTCGGGGTGGTGGTCCTGGCTGGAGAGCTGTATGCTCTGGGGGGCTACGATGGCCAATATTACCTGCAGTCGGTGGAGAAATATGTTCCCAAGTTGAAGGAGTGGCAGCCGGTGGCTCCCATGACCAAGTCCCGCAGCTGCTTCGCCACTGCTGTGCTGGACGGCATGGTTTATGCTATTGGAGGCTACGGACCAGCACACATGGACAGGTAAGAGCATCAGTTACCAGTGGTCATGTTCATTTTTACACTTGCAGTCAACATTACTGTGTAATGAGTACGACATCAATGTACGAAATGAAATTTGACAGTATAATAACCAGTTGTGTAACGATTACACACCATCATCAGCGTATAGCATTATCAACCACAATGCAGAATAAATGGCAGGATTAGTTGTCAATATATGGTGGGACTGACTCAGAAGGAAGTTATATTTTTCAAAATAAAATACCTGCAAGACCAATAAAAATGAAGTACATTTAATATATTCATGTCTGGGGTCCAGTAATTTAAAAACTTGTAGTTTAAAAAAAAGTCTAAAAATTACTGTATACATAATGTACATAGTGAGTACATTAAAAAAGAAATAAAAATGGCACGTGAGGATTTGTAGTCCTCCAGTCTCAGAGCTTTAAGTACAAGTTGGAGGGGAAACTGCTTGTCGCGTCATGGGGTTACCCCTGGCAGTCTAGGCCTGTAGCAGTATTGCTAAGGTTGAGGCCGAAATCAACTTCTTTGTTCAGTTCATTCAACAAGGACGTGCTTCAAACTTGGTCACCGAGACAAGTCTTATTCTTATTATTATTGTATCCTTATTGATAAAACTACACATTAACAACACAGTAAGAGATAGCTGTAGAGATAGCCGTCTGACTGTTTTTGCTATGGTAAATCCCTACCTCTGTACAACATTCGTAACATTTGTGTTAGCCATGCCCCATCGCACGTGTTTGTGAAAGCACTTGAGCCTAATGAGAGCCCCCATTTTTAGATGTCCTAACCCGATGTTGGCTCTCAAAGTGCTGTTAGGTATTTTATAGAACTTAGCAATCAAGTGAAGGATGTCAAGGGTTGCTTAGAAAATGGCCGAGGGCCTGTTAATGTTCAAAGACGAGTGGACGCACAAGTGGCTGCAGGAGTTTCATTGAGATGTTTCGACCTCTGTTGTTGCCGTGGATCTCCAGAGAGCAACGTCTCTGTTGCTGGTTTCCTTGACTCCTGAAACTCCTCTGGAGAAATGTGTTTGGACAAAGCACCTTCTGGGAGATGATGTTTTCTGTTCTTCCCCTGGTGGTTTATATGTCCTGGCACAAGGTGAAAACAATCCTGGATTGACTCTACAGTAGCTCAGCTGGTTATCACACGTAAGTACTCTTTTTTTTTTTTTTTTTTTTTTTTTTTTTTACTTGAAATGTATCTTTTAAGAAGTTAAGAGCCGTTAAGAGTGTTTTAACATTTTTGCCTTAAAATGTATCTTTTAAGAAGTTAAGAGCCCATAGGTGTTTTAACATTTTTGCCTTAAATATGAAAAATTAAATTAATTTTATTTATATAGCCCACATTTACAAAATACAGTTTGTCATATGAAAAATTAAATATTGTTTCAGTAACAAAACAAAATTTATTTTTAGCTTTTCTGCAAAACTGTATTCCAGAAACTTAAAAATACACATTGTATACATACAACTTTTTCAAACAATATTTTTGTTAAATTCTATAACCATTTTCTTTTCTAGTTTCACTACATAAACTACTAATCATGTACTATGTTTTTCAACAGATGTTTTTAATTAGTACAAGTTGCATTATTTTTAAATATTTAATGTTTAAAATTTTTGTTTATTAACTTTTTTGATATAATAAAGTTTTAGGTTAGACTTTTCACAGTTTTTCTAAATATAATTTTAAAAATATTTAGTAAATGCAACATAAAATTTTTGTTACAATTTTTAAAAAAAAATGAACTCATTCATAACTAAGATGTTTTTAAACAACAATTCTTGCACTTTTATAAAGTACAATTTTCCAACTCTGTATTTTTTCCACCCTTTTCTGTACCTTTTCAGTAACGTCAGTAAAACTGGAAGTTACTGGAGTTAAACTGTGGTTACGTTGTTATGTATATCTGGTTGTAAGAATTCCGATGACTGTGTCTTACAGTGTGGAGCGGTACGACCCCAGTAAGGACGCCTGGGAAATGGTAGCCCCCATGGCAGATAAAAGGATCAACTTTGGTGTTGGTGTCATGCTAGGCTTCATATTTGTGGTGGGAGGACACAACGGGGTGTCTCACCTGTCCAGCATCGAGCGGTACGACCCACACCAAAACCAGTGGACGGCTTGTCGGCCAATGAATGAACCTCGTACAGGTGAGTTTGGGTCACGTTTGGGAAATATGACATTTGATTAGGATAGAAATGGCGAAAAAGGTAGGGATGTCCGATAATGACGGCCCGATATTTGCATAATTGTGTGATATCTGTAAGAATTGTTATTGGTTTTTCGTCTGATCGTGAAGACCCGATAACGCAATACCTGGGTTTCCCCAAATGATGTGTGCCCTAAAAATAGTTTTGGGGAAAAATGGCTGTATATGAAAGTTAAAGTCACTAGATGGCATCATTGCAGCTCATTTTGTTAATCTATTTATGTATTGTTTGTACAGATCAATAAATATTACCAGGCCTGTGATAGTATTTCAATACGGGGGTGAGGGCCTAAAAACTTGTCCCATAGGGGGGGCCAAATAATTGTGAATCACTGCTTTAACCCAACACCTTAGTGAGTAGGTGGTGCTTAAACCCCTTGTGCTTTAACCCATCACCTTAGTGAGTAGGTGGGGCTTAAACCCCCAGGCCACCACTGCCCCGCTATATCGGTTCCGGTTGATAGCGGAATCGGAAATTAAGTGTTTTGACAATATTAGGATATCGGCAAAAATATCGGACATCCCTAGAAAAAGGTAAATGATTACAGTTTAATTGCATTAACCGTGTGACTGCCGTCCTTCCAGGTGTGGGCTCGGCCATTGTGGACAACTACCTCTACGTGGTGGGAGGTCACTCTGGCTCCTCCTACCTAAACACCGTCCAGCGCTACGACCCCATCTCGGACAGCTGGTTGGACTCCAGCGGCATGCTGTACTGCCGTTGTAACTTTGGCTTGACTGCTCTTTGACCCATGGCCCAGTCAGCTAGGAACCAATAAGAGAACTTAGACAAAAAGATTTTTTTTCTTTTTTGTTGTCTCCTCCTCCTCCTCCTCCTCCTCCTCCACCTCCTTCCATCCTCCAGGTGCAGAGGAGAGCTGCACACTAGTGGCAACACCAGAGAGGAGAGAGGCTGCTGGCTGGCTGGATGGAAGCAAGCGCCCAGCTGGCTGTCTGGCTGCACGGAGATCCACAGACATGGCTACACAGAGTAAGAGCTACGATGACGTGTAGATGTAAAGTGATTTGTCACAGGCACAAGGAGAAGACCGCTCTACTGCTGCTGGACCACAATAAGGACTCTGAGCCATTTCCCAGAGGATTGTGGGAGCAATTTGTTTCTGTTTTTTTTTTTTTTTTTTTCATTTATCCATCGTCCCATTTAACACTCACTGCTGCAGCCACGACCACAAGCCTAAAAATGTTCGAAACTCCACTGCGGTTAGCGTTTCTTAACCGCACAAATTAGGGAGGTGAATACTGAGCGGGTGAGGGGAAATTAAAAGAATTTGAACGGCGACAAGTAGCATTAAAAGACGTCAGAACAAACGCTCCGTGAGTTTAATAACCTGTCTGCTCGTGCTCGTCGAACACGTCGTTTGTATGTTTGTGTGTATGCCTGAGCGGTACGTGCATGTCGGAACTGAAACGTGCAAGTTGTGTGTTGTGGGAAAAAAAAAAAAAAGAGTTCAGCATCCAAATCAGAAAAAAAAACAAATGTTAAGATCGGATTTTTTTTTTTTTTAAAGGGCTGCCTTTTCTGCATTCCTAATGGAGTAATATTCCATTAATGCGTTGCCTGTAAATGTCTTCTGCACTCGGATGTTTATGTGAGCTCGTGTGTGTATGTGTGTGTGTGTGTGAATGTTGAATTTAAAGCACCAGAGTCGAACAGATGTTCAGTTTGCCATCAGTTTTTGCATCATTTTCGCAGCCATAGCCATATGCTTTTTTTTTTTTGTAATCTCACTTGATCCTTTTTTTGGACCGTCCACTACCAACTGGTGCTATATTTGGGATTCAGGACTTAGCTCTGTGTTGCCTCAGTGTTTGTCTGTTCAGAATCCGTGTCTGTACCACATGGGATTGTTTTGATAAATGCACCAAACACAAATGGGCCAGTACAGTAGGTGTCCTCTGATGACTCGGCAGATTTCTGGAAAATAACAATCGTTAAATCCAACAGTTCAGATATCAATCAGACACTGATTAGATAATATTCATTAATCATTTCCTTTTTTTATATTTCATGTCCTTTTGGACTTAAAATTATATTTTCACCTTTGAACTTGCAGAAAAAAAATTAATCTAATTCAGTGTTTCCCAACCTTTTTTGAGGCAGGGCCCATATATCATCAGGAAAGACCCCTTGACACAACACCAAACAAAAATCTCAGAAAAAGTCTATGTAATAAAATTTTAAAAAATCTTCTAGTTTAAATGACATCATAATTGACTAAAACCTCAGCCTGTTTAGTTAAAAACAACACTGTTATACTGGCAGGAATTGAAGAAAGACACTCACAAAGATCTTCTTCAACAGCTCTATTTTTTTTTGTTTTCATAGCTATCTGCTGCCACCTAGCGGAAGCACATTTAATTGTTCTGCCTTTCATGCTTTGACGGGCAAAGAAAAAAATATATGCGATAAATAAATAATTGTTTTGAGACCAATTAAGTAAAATTGAAAAATCTTCCACGGCACACGACATGACGTCTCGCGACACACTAGTGGGCCACGGCACAGCGGTTGGGAATCACTGACTTAATTACACAGTTTTAATACACTGACCCATACTATCAGCTAATGATTATTTACAGGCCGGTGATCCTGACCCATATCAGGGCTACTGCCGAAAAACCTCAGTACAAATCTTTAATTACCCCGTCTGTGGTAAATGTTTCTAAATTGTCTGATCCTGACCCTCCCTCCACCCTTCACTTCTTCTGTAGATCGTAATGCGACCCAGCTATCTTTGAGTTGCGTTACTGCCACCTGTCTACACCATGGTCTGCTTCCTATTTCAACTTTATTGAGAAATGAAACTGAGGAAAAGAGAAAATACAGACAGAGGGCAGAATCCTTGTGGGGAAAAAAATGCAACTGGTCGAGAAGATTTTTTTTTTTTTTTTGAAATTCTTTAAATCAGTGACCGCAACAACTAATGTATCTAAAACCAGTCATAACCAGATCTCTGTGCGAGCTAACCGCTACGAGTGTCTTCAAAAACGATTCACTTCTTTCACTTCTGAGAACGTCGGTCTGCCAAAGCATCCGTCAAGTTAATATCTGAAATGTTTTTTTTTTAATTAATAACAATGATTGTGTATTTAAAGCGTCCCCTCCCTCACGTGTCTCCACACTCGTCCTCTTGCAGGACGTGAGCATTTTGCCATCATCTCAGTGCCTCGCTGTCGCTACACGTGTCTCTCTTGGCTGTAGACAAGACTCTTCTGGCTAAACTTGAGTCAGACACATTTTTCGTTTTGCCAATCTGCTGACCAACATGACTAACACCCCCCCGTGTGGCCGTGGTCTTGCTTGCGAGCTCAGGATTGAGTTTAGTCTAGATTAATTTTAGGTGCCAAAGTGGCGGTTTATCTTACTCTCTTCTGCGTCGACGTCGGCGTCCTTCTTGTGCCGCAGCACGCCGCTATCGCTTTGGATTCTGTTCTTCCATGTGGTCATGGTGGAAGTGGAAGATAAAGGCAGCGAGCCGACTCCGACCAGGCCAGTGCTGTAACCAGTCCTGTGCTCTGGGAGGCGGGGGCATCTTGAAGTCGGGAGACTTCGACCCCAGTCGTCTGTGCTCCCCCAGGCTTGGCATCTCGCCATCTGAAGGGGGCGCTGGACTTAGGGGAGAAGATGTCCATCTCCAAGCTGAGTTTGAGTCGCTCTGTGCACACAGGTTTGCACATAACACGGAAACTTTAACCAAGTTCTGCATTGCACTTACCAAACTGTTTGATACATGTTGTAGTTGTACATGTGTTTTAATTTAGACTAATAGCATTTAGATCATGCAATAAGACCTTTGTTTCCCTGCGCGGGTGAATATGTTTTATCTCTGTCTCTATGGAAGAGCCAAGGCGTTACGTGCCGCTTAAACCAGGGGTTCCCAACCCCCGGGTCCGGGGACCGGTGCCAGTCCATAGATCATTTGATACCGGGCTGCAGTGAATCATAGTTAAAAAATGTACTTCAGTTTTACTAATGTACTTCATTCAGAAAGAATCCCGTCATATCCCTTTATTGTTTTCATTCAAAAATAATCTATCAGAAAGAATCCAGTCATATCCCTTTATTGTTTTCGTTCAAAAATAATCTATCAATGTTTGAAAACAACAGGTCAAAGGTCATTCAGACTCTGATACTAACAGAAGAAAGTCTGAAAGAGGTTTTATTTTGAAAGGTTAATGATCCTTCAACGATGGTGCGGTACTCCCCGTCCGCAGTACCGGCCGACCGGGGACCGCTGGCTTAAACCCTCACATCTGTCCATTGACATTAACTCTGATTGCGATGTTTGACTTGTTATCACGATATGTTATAATTGTTTTGTGTTGCGTTTTTGTGTTTGTGCATTTTTTTTTCTTTTCTAAACAGCATGTGTTAATTTTGTGACATTCTAATAATTGCCTCGCAAGTAAATTATTTTAGGGGCCAAATTAACTTATACAGTCAATGTCTGTTTAACAAAGACATTCAGTCTTTTTTTTTTTTTCTTGTTCTCCTAACCTGCTGATTTAAGAGAACTTTAACAACGTTGTTAGCATCACCTACGCGGTAGTGTGCCTGATTTTTAAGCCACCTGTGCTTAGCCAAAAAAATAACTCATATCGCATTAAGTAGCATCGCGCTAAACAACAAAAAAAAAAAGGAAATATTTATAGCAGCGTTTCCCTCATATCGCATTAAGTAGCATCGCGCTGAACAACAAAAAAAAGTAAATATTTATAGCAGCGTTTCTATATGCTCTTTTTACGACAAATATTTTACGTTTGAAAAAACCCATGGCCCACCACCAAACAAAAATGTCACGAAACGTACACGTTCTTCTAGTTTCAATATACTCACTCAGTATGGACCATGGGCCTGTTTAGTTGAACACAACACTGATATACCTGCAGGAGTTGAAGAAAGAAATTTAGCTCTGAGTCTTTCCATGTTCTATTAGTTTTTACAGACATCTGCTGCCCCCTAATGGTGTATTTGGTTGATCGACCTGTCAATGTTGAAGAGAAATATGTGGTAGAAAAAATAAAACATTTTTAGGCCACTGAGGTGAAATTGGGTAAAATATGGCTAATATATGTAGTAAAATATAGTTATTGCCATAAGGCAGTATAAATAAACAAACACATTTTGAATATGTACAAATATACAAATCTCTGGATTAAAAAATCAAATTGTTGAAGTCAGCTGACGTATTTCTCACGACAGAATTTGGAGTTTTACATAAAAAAAACAAACAAAAAAATGGTTGGTTTAAAACTTGTGCACACCACTGAAGATGAAGGAACAAAACACATCAGCAAATATATCTGTGTCTGCAAAAATACTTTAAAAGAAATGTGAATTTCTGTTTTGTTTTTTTAAATATGTGTTGTTTTTTTTGTTTTGTCCCAGATTCTTACTTTTGTCCTTTTGATTATTGTGAAAGATTTCATCCATTTTCCAACAGCACAAATCACGCAGGCGTGACGACGTGCTGCTGTCATGAATGGTCAAGCATTAACGTTATGTATTGTACAGTGTGTGTGTGTGTGTGTGTGTGTGTGTATATACTAACTGCTATTTCACCGGGTCGTCAGGAGAGGTTCATGAAAAGCTGCAAAACGTTAATCTGCAAAAGAACGCGATGAAAAAAAAAAAAAAGACGTGGAGTTTGTATGGATTTCTTATATGGCCTGAACTGATGTCACGGTTTTCTTTTTTTTCGCCACCATTTCTCACCAAAGTGCTTGTTCAGAGAGCGCAGATGGACGATGAACACCTTTCTGCGACAGCCTGACACTGTGTGTGTGTGTGTGTGTGTGTGTGTGTGTGTGTAAAGGATGAAACAAACCTTTGAATCTGATGTCATTGTCGGCCAAACGACCACTCGGCTTCTTTTTCCAACTGTTTGTCTGTCTGGAGTGAGATGATGATTGTTTTATTTCATTTGTTTTGTTTGTTTTTTTTTTATAACCTGTGAATTAATACTGCAAGTACAGAATAACGTTAGGTGTAGAAACGGTAGCTTTTTTTTTTCCCCTCACATTTCACCACGTTTCATTTAACGACATTTACCATAACATTTGAGTCTGTTTGTGTGGTGCACTCGTACCCCATTAGAAAACAATAAATGCCTGCCTTACAAAGGTGGACTGCTTTTATGCGTCTCTTGTGATGTTCACGTGAAGCACACGTTTGCACGCCTGTGTTTACAAATATGTTTTTATTTGCATTTCAAAGACTGCATAGAAAGACAGGTAACTGGTAAAACCCGGAGCAAGGATTTTCCTGCTCCACAGAGCAGAGGCACAACGTGACACCAGGAAATTTCAAAACATCAAAATGTATAAAAACTCAATTATATATTTTCTGCGGTGGATTCCTCACACAATGTGTTTAGTTACTTTGTTCCAGTGTTTCCCAACCGGTGTGCCGTGTGACATCATCACGTAATTAAGTACGTTTTCTTACAGTTTTCTTAAACGTACAGCACTACTAATTATCATTGCTAATAATTTGTCTTTGTTTGTCTACGTATCAGACACAGACGCTGAACAATGAATACTCTTCCACTAGGTGGAAGCAGATGGCTTATGAAAACAAAAACAGACTTCGCTGTTAAAGATCTTCGTGAGTCTTTCTTCAATTCCTGCGACTATGTCAGAGTTCTTTTCAACCGAACAGGCACAGATTTCGTACTTAGAAAGTCAATTAAAGGTAGATGATCTTTATATTCCAGTTAGGTTGGGAAACACTGGGTTTCACTGCTTTCATTATATTTTGTACATTTGTCGCCAGTTTAATGTCCTGGAAGAGGTTTTTATTTCAGTTTTTAAATGTTAATGTTAAATATGAAGCAAACACAGGGGGCAGTATTGCACGTATAACTGAACAGGGATGCCACTTAAACCCAAAGAGGAAGTGTGTGTGTGTGTATGTATGTGGGGGATGGGGGGGGTGGAGGGGATTGGCTTAGATCAGTGTTTCCCAAACTTTTTTTCGGGGGACCCATATTTTAAAAGTTACAAACCTTCACGACCCAAGTCAATAGAGATTATTCGTAAATTCCTGGGAAACGACCCCAAAAAAAATCTCTTGTGGCCCACCTGAGGGTTGCGACCCAGTCTTTGGTAATCAATGGCTTAAACTGTAAGGTAACATTCAAATAAAGGCAGAGTGTTTTAGTCATAGTTCATTCACAGTCCATTTTGGATTTTTTTTTTTTTACCACTAAAATCATCTGTATTTGTCACTTAAAACCAGGAGCTGAACATCACAACTAAACACGTCGCTGTTTTTGAGGATAAAGCGTTCTTACTGTGTTCATAGCGCACCCTGCAGGTGGGGGGAAAGGGTACCTGAATTGCTAAAAACCAATCACTACACACTCTACCTTTAAGTGCTGTGTTTTAATCACAGGAAAAACTGTGAAAATGTAGAAAATGCACCAGTTGGGTTTCAGTCCAAGAGCTAGTGTGTGTGTGTGTGTGTGTATTTGTAAAGATAAACAAGACACATGACCATTTGTAATAAATTTCATATCCAGCCAATGTGGGGACGAGGGACGCCCATTGGCTGTCGTCCTCTCAACAAAGCAGGGTTTGAGGACCACTGCTGTGAGGCATCTAGACAGAAAATACATCGTCACCATGTAATTATTTACCACTTTTAAACATGGTTTAAATTCCCTCTGTGTGAAGATAACTGCATATTTAGTGCTTATTAACATAGAACTATTATAGTCCACTGGATTCTTGGATTCCAAGTATGCACAAAAACCTGTTTTCAACCAGGTGACATGGACCATGTGACTTTCAGAATTTTTTAAAGACAAAAAAAAAAAGGATAAGCTGAGCGGAATAATTTTAAGGCAAAGTCAATGAAAACGAAAAGGAAAGAAAGTACGAAGGTTTCACTATCTGGCTGTCCACACACTCCAGGGTTCGGTTCACTTGTCCGAGGCACGAATGTAGACCAGAGAGGAGAGCAACAGGAGTTCTGGCGGCTTCTGCAACAGGACCAGATTGTCACTCCTGAGGCCATCGTAGTGGATCCAGCAGCCGTCGATCTGGAAGGCTGCCGAATAGTGATGCTCCTCCTTGTTGAAGAGCGTAGCGCCCTCTAGTAAGTACCTGGAGGAAAGAGGACAGAACTCTTTAACACTCACATACTGTATGACGTTATCATTTTTACATCCAATAGCGAAAACTCGATAATGCTATACCTGGGTTTTGCCAAATGTGCTGGAATCTCTGAGATGTTTACCCGTTTTGGGGAAAAACGGCTGCATATATCGGAATCGGAAATTAAGTGTTTGGACAATATGGGCATATCGGAAATTAGCAAAATGTTAATATCAGACATCAGACATATGGTTGTCATACAATAAACATCTATCCTAAAAAGTTATGGTTTTAGACGGTAAATTGCAGTGGTCAAATTCCATGCAGGAACGACTATTTCACAATTATTTTTCACTGATTTGAATTGAAATTAGAATCGGAATCGGTCAAAACTAAAAAAAAATATTGAAATTAGAATCGGAATCGGTCAAAAAAAATAAAAATGTTAGTTTAAAAGGATTGCACTATTTCCACGTTTCATTGACCAACTTCACACCCAATGTTGTCGAATAACTAAACCAAGGAGTCTACATTAGCACAGTGCTTCTCAAAATGTGGGGCGGGCCCCACCGGTGGGCAACAGAGATGAAATGTTGTGGGACGAGTGATGATGTCACAACTGTACTTTTATTTTCTCTTTTTTTTCCAAACTTTGTGTTATTTGATGTTACTTTGTCCCTGATGATGAAATAGTGACATTGCGAACAGGGACTTGTGTCGTGGAGGGCTGTGTCACTCCGACGTCGTCAACAACAACAACAACAACAACAACAACAACAACACACTGTACCTGTGCTGACACAGAGCCAGGTGGTAAGGGACGTAGGAGAGCTCCTCCGACTTCCACTGCTGCATGTTCAGGATGACGAAGGGCGGGGGCCCGTGGCAGAATATCCTCTGAGAAAACTCCCGTAAACCGTCACATCTGTGGGACGACATGGACCGAGGTCAGCGTCAGCAGAGCGAAGAAACAGAGGACGTGAATTATGGGAAAAACAAAAATGAGCGTATTTACCCCAGTTCTGAGCAGAGCACCAGCTTGGGGCAGAAGAACTCGTCCACTGCTGACTGAATGGGGTCTCTGTGAGGTAGTGTGTGAGGTGGGCTTGAGGTGGGAGTGGGTGAGGGGGGGGGTTGCAGGAGTAACATTAAAGGAATGGAAAGTAGGTCAGACACTTAACAAGAACCGATTCTCTAAGGTTTGACCTACTTTGCTGAAGGGAAAAAAAAAGACTGCCTTTCAGAGTGAGTGGAATATGGACGTCATTATTTTGAATCTTGAGTAGAACGAACACTGACCGATATTTGATAAAGACAAGGCAGTTTTACTACTTTACTACTACGTAAACAGCTGACTTTTACAATCCAAGGTCCACGGAAAGACTTCACTCCACAACAAAAAAGTGTAGTTGATTAACAGCTGTCTTAATCACAGAGCTCACGTTTGTTCAAACAATTAATTTCTGATTCCGATATATAAACCGATACCGATATAGGCCTGGTAATATTTATTTAATTATCGGTACAAACCACTGTATGTGGTGGTAAGTTGCTGGCACCAGCATTCTGCATACAATCCCCTGATTATTAAAAATCGATGAATAAATGAGCTGCAATGCTGCCATCTAGTGACCTTCACTTTCATATACAGCCATTTGGCGAAACAAAGGCATTGCTTATTGGGTTTTCATTATCGGAGGATAAAACCAATCATTCTTACAGATATTATGCTAATATCGGGCCGATATTATTGTATATATGTTGTTTGTATATATATATATACACATATATATTTATACATACAGTATACACATATACATATATACACATATATACACATTTATACATATATACACATATACACATATATAAACATACTATATATACATATATATGTTACTATTAAATAAATACTTTTCAATTTAAGGCAACAGTGAAACCAGTGGTCTCTCTTCAGAGTTAAAATGTTAACATTAGCTTCACATCTTTAAATAAAAAAAAAAAAATCTTGACGTCGCTGTTAGCTGAATTTTGATTGGCTGTCAATCAGAGGGTGTAGGGGCGTACCTGATGCTGATGGTGGTCTTGAGGAATTCCTGGAAGCGGGCTGGGCAGCTCCAGTTGCTGCACAGACACTCCTGCATAGTGCACATGAGGTTCTCCAGGTTCTTTGTGAAGTTCTCGTGCTCGTTCCCAAACAGGTCAATTTCCAACGCCGCCTGGTTGATCTCCGAGCGGTACTGTCGTTTGGACATCCTGTCCCAGATCCACAGCATCTTCACTGTGGTGTAGTCACAGGAGTCCATCAGGTAGAGGAAGTACTCCACAAACTGCTTCCCCAGGAAGACGGCCAGCTCTCTGGAAAACCCCTGGTTATCCCGCAGGATTACATACAGGATCATGAGGAAGCCGTCGATAGTGCAGGTGTTCTTTAGGTTGATCTTAACGTACAGGGGGATGCACGACACGGCCTTACGACCGGCCTTGATGGTAAAGACGCCCCCCCAGGGGAGGACAGGCCTCCAGAAGGAGCTCTCTTCTTTGTCATTGTTGTAGATGGAGGCACGTATTTCCTCAAACAGTGTCTTGGACCTGAGGAGAAATGACACCAATAAAAAAACCCAAAACCGGAAGTGAAGTAATACAATTGTTATTACAAAAAACCCCAATCATTAGTCTTCAGTGTTTTACTTGTTGTAAGGAAAGTTGAAAAGATTTATATTTTAAAAGTAATCTACCTGCGCAATCAAGGTGTGGACGCGCAGATTACAAGTGTGTTAACAGCACCCCCCTCAGGGGGATGGCGATATTGTCAGCTTTAAACTTGACCTTAAAGTTGACAGACGTGTTTTCTTTATCAAAAAATAAAAAATAAAAAAATTATAAAGCATTACTTTTTACTCGTGTTTGTATACTTTTCTTTATCAAAAAATAAAAAATAAATAAATTATAAAGCATTACTTTTTATTCGTGTTTGTATACAAATATATATATTTTACGTTTGATGTTAAAATTAGAACCGCTTCATCGGCTTAACATCCTCTTCCTGTTGTATACATCGAAGTTCTACGTTTCCGTCGTCAAATTAAACGCAGTTGAACAGTATGTGACAATATCCACATGAATAAAACATAAAACAGCCTTGTTGAACGTAACTTGTAGATCTCGCCCCAGTTGCGTTTAAAACTTGTACAACAGAGGCTTTGCACAAGTGCATAAAAGTATGTCAACAGCGACACGTTGAGTTAGCCCTCGGTATCAAAACAAGCCAAACAATGACGAGTGACGCCCAGCTCCTCGGCGTGAAACAATGGCTACATTTACGCTACGCGTATTCTACGTTGAAGTCCGTTCTAGCGCGTGTCTGGATCATTACGGTGCACGATGACAGAATAGCCGATGTTGGAAACTCACCGTTCTGAGCGGGGACTGTTCGTGTTCCACTCACTTCTTCTAATGTCTTCACTGTCGTTCAGAACACTCCATCTGCCCTGCATAGCTCTCGGCATGTGTTCATGTCTTGCATCGGAGCAAAATACACACTCACATAGAAGATTAATCTTTTTCTTCTTCTTCCTGGAAATGTCAGAGTAACAGTGTGTACGCTGTCATCGAGGCATCGTTCAATAAATCAGCCAAGTTCCAA